ACAAGAAGGGAAACAACGTCTCAGTAGCCACAAAGAATATCAAAGAAGTTTATGGAAATGTTTTGAACGTTCGTAAGTGTCAACGATGGTTCAGCAAATTTCATTTAGGTGACTTTAGCCTTAAAAATTGTGGTGACAGGGGCCGACATGTTGGAATTGATAGTGATGCTCTGAAGACGCTTGTTGAGTCTAACCCAAGGCAACACACTCATGATATGGCCCTGAAATTGCATGTCTCTCATGAAAAACACGTAAAGAAGGTGTTTATGTGCCTCACAAACTCTCTGATGATCATCGTTTCCAACGTGTGAACGTTTCTTCGTCTCTTCTCGCGCGTAATGCGCGTGAACCATTTTTGAACAGAATTGTCACCGGTGATGAAAAATGGATTCTCTATGCAAATATCAAATGCCAAAAACAATGACTCAGTCCTAGACAAAACCTGGACTCCATCCGCAGAAAGTGATGCTTTGTATTTGGTTGGACATCAAAGGAGTAATTCATTTCGAACTCCTCAATCCACAGCAAACTGTCAATGCAGAGATCTACAGTCAGCAATTTGAACATTTAAATTAAGCCCTTCGTCAGAAACGCCCTTCACTCGCCAATAGGAAAGGTGTTCTTCTCCACGACAATGCACGTCCACATGTGGTACGTTTGACGCAACACAAGATTATGGAGTTGGGTTGGAAAGTTCTCCCCCTACCACCATATTCTCCAAATATGGCACTATCGGATTACCATGTTTTTCGTTCGCTGCATCACCATCTTAATGGGAAAAGGTATGCAAATGTGGAAGTTGTTAAAGAGAACATCGACATATTTTTTGCTTCAAAACCAAGTGATTTCTTTAATCAGGACAATAACAAACTGAAGGTAAGATGGAAAAGTATCATCGATAAGAATGGAGACTATTTCATTTAATAAATGTTTTGTTTTGATATAGAAGTTGTTCGGGTTTTTTTGTCTAAAAACAAAGGCGACATTAATTTCTTGACGACCTAATATATCAGAATAAAACGTATTATCATAACTTATGGTTTTACGAAAATCTCATATATTTTGTTTTACAAAAAGTGTTAAATTATAGGACATTGGCTACGAATGTCAACTACTCAGTAGTAATTTCTGTATGATTTCGTACTTGTTGTACATGTTTTGTTTTTTGTTGTTTTTTTTGCAATTGCATACAAGGCAATTTCAATTATACATTCTTTCAGTAACTGATGAATAGTAACTTGGCCTAATTAGTTATAAAACAAAGAAAGAAATTTGATAATTTTATACAATATTGAAAAATGGCTGGGTTAGGTAAGGACGATCTACTATTAAATTATAACCACAAAAATATCTTCCTGAGACTTATTATGCACGTTTTAGCTAGAATATTGCAGACTTGCGTCACGTTTTTTCTTGAGGCTTATGCAACGTTTTTATCTGTTATCAGGTTAACCAAACATTGTTTTATAATCTTCCTGTTTTCAAAGAAAGTTGAGATTTAATAGTTGTATTTTATGTATTTTTATGAAATTTCATTGAACATCACAAAAATATACTCATTTATATATGTTTGATATGTTTACCTTTTTTAGAATTATCTAGAGAATTTCGTACTGCTAGTTTTCATTTGCTTCGTCTTATTCATTAAATTCCTTAAATATGTGTGTGTATTTACGTTTAGCGTCTTTCAGTTCTTCCAAACTGTCATGTACTGGTAAAAATGTACAACTGTACTCAATTCAAAACTGTCTGTAAACTCGGCACAAGGAAAGGTGAAAGTAGTTTTAATGTACGAGGATGTTTACATCAAAACGAATTCGATTTATTTGTACGAAATAAGCTGTATGACATTAAATTATATATGAGCCTCATAATGAAACTTATATTTCCATTTTAAAATCAGTAAGTAGTGTTTGCACGTTTTGACAAGTGGAAAATATTATAACTTATTAAGAGTATGGCTTCTAATATAGATGTTTTTCTTGCGTCCAGGTACGTGGACTTTTTAAATGTTTTGTCATATGATTATCACACGGCTTACGAAGCAGTAGTCAACCACCATTCTCCTCTTTATAAAAGTCCTGATATTGGTCGCTGGGATGAAAGAAACAAACTGAATGTGGTAAGTCCTACTGACAGGCAGATGTTAAAAACCTATTTTACTATAATTATTTATTTCGGATATTCGCGCAGAGCTACACAAGGGCTACTTGTGCTAGACGTCCCTAATTTTGAACTGATAGACTAGAGAGAAGGTAATAACTCAATTGCAACCATCACTATCTTTTGGACTATTCTAATCGAATAATGGAAATATAGCAGTCACTTTTAAAACAAACCTACGGCTTCAATATACGGAACGCAGTTTTATAGCAATGGGACACAACATACGAACCCTGAAATTCACAGTGCAGCCCACTAGACCACGTACAACCCATCATCATCATAACAAATTAACTGCTATGGTGATATTTTATGTCGAATTAGTCATGATTTTAAGTTGACATCCTGTAATATTAGGCATTCATTTTCAATATTTTAATGCATAATCTTACATGCTTAAACCCCCAACACACCACATTCTAATACCACTCCAAATCTTCAAAGCTTAAATATCAGTTAGCGTCATCTTTAATTATTTTGATAAACACTTAATATAAATATATATCTTAAAAATATTCGTGAAAAATGTGTACTTTAACCATGGTGCTGCTGTTAAAGGGAGAGAGTTTAAGAAAGGGATGAATGTAATATAAATTTTGTCCAATGAAGAAATACAAATCTTTGCTTATTGCGAACATTAAAAGAACAAAGCTGTGATAATTAAAAGGGTGAGTCACATTTACACAAATATGCCATATTTCAAGTTGTCTAAGCATATGCTATGAAATTTATTAACTTGACCAATATGTGGTTTTCATCGAAAAGGATATTCAGAAATGTAGTTTCATATGAATAAAAATGTTCTTAAAGTTTTTATTACATTTTATATCTTCAAACGTTTCAGCCAAAGTTTGAAATTTCGGCGAATGTACATCATATTTAGAGCACTATAAGATAAAACAAGGTATTTGGCTGGCTTCCAGATAACGCCATTAGCAAAGGTTAACTAGAGGAGCCTCCCATTTCGTGATTTGTTTAAAGTTTTTGAAATTATAGTATGTGCATTAACTTGATATAAAAAGTACATTAATTTATATTTACCATCACAGAACGATAGTGTCTAAAAATAGATAGACGATTTATATTCGTTTATTACGTTATTGAATCTCTTTTTATTAGGTTATTCTAGTTTAACACATTGTGTGCATTTAAGTTGATTAATTATCTAACAAAAATCCTGATGAAAACAATAACATTTTATAGGAAGAGTTATTACAGAAAACGTGAACATCCCAGGAAACCAAGTAACTGTGGTTGGTTCAGTAAGCCCCCCAGTGGCACAGCGGTTTCGATACCCGTGGTGGGCAGAGCACAGATAGCCCTTTGTGTAGCTTTGTGATTAATAACAAACAACAACAACATCGTTCAATAAAACTTTGGAAAACAAAGGTTTGCTTGGATACAGACACACATCAGTTACAAGTCTACCACTTATTAACGGTTTAAAGTGGAAAACAAAGGTTTGCTTGGATACAGACACACATCAGTTACAAGTCTACCACTTATTAACGGTTTAAAGTGGAAAACAAAGGTGTGCTTGGATACAGACACACATCAGTTACAAGTCTACCACTTATTAACGGTTTAAAGTGGAAAACAAATAATTTTTTGAATTTAGAAATGGCCATGTGCGACGTTTTAGTTAGCCTGTCCGGACTGTGAATTCGAGGGTTTTGGTTTGTGTTTCATTATGCATAAACGCGTTTTGCACTTTGGAGCAGTAATGTGCTATAAGAGTGACGGCTAAACCCCACTCTTTGGTCACACAATAGTATCCCAAAAGATGCCGGTGACTGCTGTTGACTAGTTGCCTTACCTTTAATCCAGTGGTTCCCAACCTTTTCTCCACCAAGGACCCCTTTTATTATCATTTTTTTCTCCCACGGACCCCATGTTTTTGAAAGATTCCGCGTACCCAGCAAACTGTTTTTATTAACTAATGACTAGCTCGTTCTCCCACTTTTCACTATCAGATAAAAGACATATATATAACTGAGTGTGCAATTAAAAAAACATCAGTATTAAAAAACTTACTTGTTTAATGAGATGGTATTACCTACGCGGACCCCAGGTTGGGAACCACTGCTCTAGTCTATCAGTTCAAAAATTTACAAGAAAATTCTAAAACAAACAAAGAAATGAGTAAGAAATTTCGACACCTTTATAGTCTGATTGGCCGTGTTCTCTATTAGAGAATGCGAATCAATTATACCCTTATCTCTCTTCTATCTAGTGGTTTAATTAGATAACGGATTTAGGACATCACCCTCTACACTGTATTTATTCGAGCCTTGAAAATATTTCATTGATTTAGCCAAACCTTACAGATAGTACTTGTTTATAATTTATTTATTTTTGACCTCACTCAAACCTACGAAAACTTTATCTAAGTAATTCACTGTGGTTTTTATTCGATCGTAACAGAATTGGACCGTAAGTTATTACCTGGAACTGGGAGCTCCAAAGGAAAAAATAATAGTAGGAATTCCTATGTACGGCCGATCTTTCACGCTACTGGACCCTTTTGATAATGAGATCGAAGCTTCCGCAGATGGACCTGGTGAAGAAGGGGATTCCACTAGGGAAAAAGGATACATGGCCTATCATGAGGTAAGTCATAATCTAATATATTTTAGGAGAGAATCTGATTCTTTCTGAAAACTTCTGAGGAAACTTTAGCTTTTCTCGGGTAACTGGATTTTTTTTCATAAGTTTTAAGTTATTAGTATTTCATCATGTTCTTCATCATCAAACCATCCTTCTATGTAGTGACAACCAATGAATCAGTTATTTCAGTGAGATATAAGTTAGAATGAAATTTAAATATTGTTAGTTTTATCTGTATAACTCAGCTTCAAACGTAAGATAACTTAACCATAGGATCAAATCATACAAAAAAGTAGCTGCTCTGTAATTCATATTGAAATTAAGTTCAATATTGTCTTGAAAGTAGAGATAATTGTAAGGACATACCACTTATCCGATTCAACCTCTGTTCACAAACCTCAACCATATAATTTATTTGATATAGAAATTAGAAGCTGAGATGGATACTCCAGATCACATAACTTAATATCCGAACTACCTTTCTCTGTCTACAGCCAGTCGTATCTTTTTATGCCCAAGATACTTCTTTTTTAATGCAAGCATGCATACAAACCTAAAAAAAGACTGATAAATACAAACATGAAGTTTCGTGTATCAGAAAACTTCTTTCTTACATATTTACGTGTCATTTCCTTAAGCGTTTGTTTTATCTAATATACTTAGGTTTATAACAACTCCAAAACATGAACAACCTACAGGTAGGTTGTACCTCCAATGTATTATTTGACCCACCAGTTAAAACGATCACTTCCTGCCTTTAAACATTTAGATCACTCTTTCTCACAGAAATCACACATAATATAATAGATGAGTGGCTTAGAATAATAGGTAACTAGGGCTAGAGAAACTTAGCTACTTCCTTGAAAAAATTCTATGTTAAACCTGCATGTACTTACATGCATGGTGCACATATGGACATTAAACACATTGAAAAGTTATGACCACATGTTGCGAAAAAACTACAAACTTCCCAGTCAGAACTGAAGGAAGTAAAATGCTGAGGTAAAACTTCAGATATTGATAAAGACTATGCCATCTCTATTGGCCCAAGCCTGGTAGACAATAGTCATAATAGTGTAACTTTATTTGCTTTCTACTTAAAGGAGACGGGAAAGGTAGACTACCATCCTTTAACCAAAAAACAGTTTCCTCTAACAAGTCTTTTTCTGCACGTGCATAAACAGCTAATTCACTGTTATAAAATTATTACATGTTTTTTGCTGTTTTCATATCTAATATATTTCATGTTTTGAAGTATTCCTCGAGTACAATTAAAGTCACTTGAAGGTAAAGGGCATCACTAGAACTGAAGTTCAGAAACTCAAATTCTTTGGATTAGTGAACATGTATATTAGTGTCTCTGGACATAGACATAACTATTATGGTAGACAAGGAAGGCCTGAGGAATTAACACCATCAACGAGAAGTCCTTGTTTAAGACAGAGTGCTCTCCCACATTGTATCAGGCTATCCATGTCATGATAGTTTTGCGTTCAGTTGATGATTGATTGAAAAGGAAATTATATATTTCCAGTTTTTCATATTTTAGGAGTATTGGTTTGGTTGTTGAGCTTCCACTGTTGAACAAAAAAAGCAAATAAACAAACACAGTTATAATCAGCTAGGGTCGCATTTCTGTGGCACTACTTGTGAGTTTACCTACCACTCATGGCATTATGGAGAGGATAGACTGACAGGCAATAAGAAGCCATGAAAAATTAGATTGGGCATTCATTATATTTTGAATGAAAAAAGACCATAAAAGAACCTGATTATCCTCTGAGAATGTCATTTTAATTGTGGATACTGGATATAATTATCATATCTACCTGCCGTAAGGAAAACACTCAATACTGTGTGAATGGGTTTGTATCAGTTCTCTGGAAATGAAACTAGCATGTGTGGTTGCATGGCGCTTATATAGACAGAACTGAAGGGAGCTAAATCTTGGGGTGAAGCTTCAGATACTAACATAGATGATGCCATCTCTGTTGAGCCAAGCCTTGTTGATCACAGCCAACCCATCATTGAAAATAACACTATAAGCATCTGTAATAAGTAACTTAAAAACATAGATTTGTCTAAATTAATCAAGACCATCATGATCCAGCCGAATACAACACTGTTGACTAGTGTATCTAGGCATAGAAACCAGTGATAAATAGATAAGACAGCAACTGTGATAAATAGTGAAGACAGCTAGGCAGTTACTCTACTCTTAAATTCAGTTGTATGTTGCAACCCTTATACTCTGAACTATCATTAACCATTACCTTCTAGTGAATGCGCACCATGAATTAATTGATGCAACTAGCTAGAACAGTAATAACATACTGAAATTCAATTGCAATTCTTGATTTCTAATGGACTTCCTGTCATCAACATATACAGAAATCTCATTCTAGAGGTAGCTAGCAAAAATATAATTGGATTACAGGTCTTCTCAGTTGAAAATGTGGCTATACAAGTTTATCATTAGTTGAATCTAACTGAAGTCCATTAATTAATTTTGTTTTGACTAATACGTGATTTGACCTCATGGTTAAAGTCTGCACTTCCGTGATATTGTTCATTATTTGTTTGTTCTATTTGTATCATTCCTGTCTTTCTTTCTTTGCATCACCATTTCACTCTATGCTTTAATTTTTTTTTTACTTTACATTGTATGCCACAAGATGACGGAAAGAGTATGCAATCACAATGCTGAAGGTTAATGCTTTTAAGATTCAAGTTAACAATTAGACTTAACATTCTAATTTGAAATATAAGAATGGATCTTTTTTTAGCATGCTTAGACTTCCTTTCTAAAATTTGTTGAAAACTATGCCCTTTATGATACTTATTTGTACAGTAATCAAAGGCTGTAGTTAGTCTGACAGTGCTGCCACCTGGAGCTTTTTTACTAAACTAAGTTGTTTTACATGGTATAGTCGGTAAGCAGTTATTGAAAGAAACTAGAGCTATAAGCTAATTAGTTGTGCTATACAGAATTGTTAAATATGCAATTATTTGATAACTGGGCAGAGATGACGTTCACACCTATGGTAGAAGAATTAAGAGAGATTTGGTCACGGTCACTGTTTAATCTGGAGGGCAGGACAGAAATAGCTACAACTAATGAGGTTACTAAATCATCTATTACTCGACTTTATACATCTTTTGGGCCACTGTTTTTCTTAGATCCCACACAAAAAAAGCCCTGTTTAACGTCACTTAATTTGCGGGTGATAAATATGGTTTATTTGAAATATTACACAACTTTGATGCGTCTTTTCAGTTTATGCAGCCATAAATTGATATACACGATGGTAGTATTAACAGTTATAGTTTATACGATACTTTATCTTCAAAGACACCAGCTTGTTTTAGTTCATGACAGGGACTGGAACATTCTTGCAATATGGTCAGATTTGATAGAAACTACAAATATTGAGATTCAACAGATATGTATTGCAGAGTAAGAATCAGTTCTCTCGGTTTCAACTAAATTGGAAAGAAAAAAAGAGAAGATATAATGTGAAAATAATATTTATTCCATTCACAAAAACACGACAGAAATGACAAGTGTATAAATGGAGGCCTGCTCATTTAGGTTATTTTTTCAATATTCCAAAATAAATTACTTCTTCAAACAATTACAGAGAGCATAATATTTTTACATATAATTTACAACAAATCTAACTAACAAATCTATCTAATGTAATCAGATGCAATGCAAGCATAACTTAACCATTCAATATCCTCTAAACATCCCTGATCTTTGTTGGGATTTTTCCCTCAGATTTGTAAGAACATTCTGGACAGCGATTGGGAGGTAAGACGCCCTTACCCAGAGCTTCTTGGACCATATTGCTTTAAAGGGGACCAGTGGGTTGGCTTTGACGATGAAATGATTATCATTGAAAAGGTAAGAAAATTATTATAGCTTGGTTTCGCTGTTTATAAAATGTTTTACTACTTGCTGCGAGAAATCTTACGTGAAATATAAAATATATATGATATTAAAATATGTTCTGAAATTTACTTATACAGGCACTATACATCAGAGAACAAGGTTTAGGGGGAGCTATGGTGTGGACGCTTGATAATGACGATTTCAGGGGATCATGTGGTGAAGAAGAAAACCCTCTGGTGACAACATTGCGTACTGCTCTTCTGACTGGATCTAAAGAGCCCTCAGTGAAGTCAGTTGTTCAGAAAAAAATAGAAGAGCAACAACTAGACAGTCGTTTTTCTTCCTATAATCAGTTTAAAACTGATACTTCAGGCTTAAGAAACATACTACACACACCAAAACCCCCAACTACCCCAGACCCAGGTGTTGATTTTGTATGCACAGAAGAAGGATTCTTTAGAAATCCTAGAAGTTGCAAGAAATATTATTGGTGCTTAGATAGCGGCCCTGCAGAGCTAGGAATCCTTCCTAACAGCTTCACGTGTCCAGCTGGCTTGTATTTCAATCAACAGACAGATTCTTGTGATTACTCTCGCAATGTGCGTTGTGAAGAAGAACGTGTCACTACGACAACAACCCGCCGGCCATCACGCTTAACAAAACGACCAATCCAAATCTTTCGACCACGTACCCGTTCCAAAACAAGAACGACTACGACAACGACAACTACAACCACTACTACAACAGAAGCCCCACATACACAAATTCCAACCACGGACAATTTGGCTGATCTTGTCCGACTTCTTCAGTCATTTTTAACCTCTGAACAACCCAATAAGGAAACAACAACAACATCAACTACTACTTCTACTACTACTGTTTCACCAAACGTATTTTCAACTTCTAAAAGTATTCCAGACTATGTTACTCCTCAAAGAATCCCTAGGGTAGGTAAAAAAACAAAACCTGAAACCACTAAATCACCGTCAACATCTACAGAAGCTGCTTCAACACCGCGACGTATACGTTACAGACGTCCCAAACCCCATGTTTCTTTCTTATCTACTACAGATTTACCAAAAGATACTACCAGTGAACCAATTGTCCAGTTGGTTAACCAGGTCCCTCGAAGGCCACAGTTTGAATCGGAACCAAATAGTGATAAACTATTTCAATATGTTGAACCAAACAGGCAACGTATTAAAAATAAATCGGGCACAGTAGAAGACAAGGGTGAGTCCTTGTTTATTTATAAGGAACCAGACAGACCCCAGGCTTCATCTCCACCATCAGAAGTAAAAACTGAGTCTCTATTTATCTATCAAAATCCTGAGAGAACAACAGTTGTTGCACCCACGGACCCCCCTTCCAAAATTGAAGTCACGACTGTTGAAAACCCATTTAAGTATAGAAATCCTGCTCGCTCATTCCCACTTAACATATCATTTACTGAAGAATCAGCTAAGGAAGACGAAGAAACTCGCCTACAACGATTAATAACACAGCATCGTAAACATGATGGTAAGAAGGTAAGAGTCCGCGTTCGGATAAGGCCACTAACAATCTCCAAAGGAATCGAAGATGCAGTTTCTTCCCGTGTTAGCTCAATAGCTTTGCCACAAGGCGAAGAGTTACCACGCTTCAAAACAATTAGGCAAGCCACGCGCCGTCATTTACGTGTTCGTCCGCTCCCTTCGACTACTACCGAGATTCGAGGACCTGGAGTGACCGTAGCAGAAAGCAGTAAAGTACTATGTATCCGTCAGGGCGTTCATCGACACCCGAAAGACTGCAACCAATTTATCGTTTGTGCCCCACAGTTGGATGGAAACTTTGCCAGCTTTCTTTATGATTGCCCACCGGAAAAGATTTTTGACGAATATTTGGGCAGATGCATGTTCGGAAACAGAAACACGTGTGAGTTCACCATCTAGTCCGCCGGTGACCTACTGATGTCTGAACCAAAAATATGTACATTCTCCACACGTGGAGACCCAGTAATCTTTATGTACAAGGTAATATGAAATAATAAAAAAACTAGAATCTTTCTTATCTTAGTTTGACGAGAAACATGAAAAAAGACAAACAACCACTCAGTAAAATGTACGCATGTATAAAAAGTGATTTCAAACAGTTTTACCTTGCAGTTTTTTATTTTAGTTTCAGTTATTCAATATTTGATAAAAATGGAAATTTTTGTAACTAGGATTCGTGAATACGAAACAGTAATTTATATTATTAACAATTACGAGCTCTAAAAACACGTGCTCGTAACTATTAATAGAAGTAAAAAAAAAGGTATATTCCAGATAAGTTTGCAACTGCTCAAGACTTTGACAGGTTATTTCTGTGGAGTAAAATATATGGTAAGAATAATGGTGTAATTTTTACAACAGTAACTTTTCTGGTGTGGTGCAGAATGGTTTATTGAAAAAAAAAACATAGTTATGTTAAAAAGTTTCAACCATTTATATTATAAACACATGCAAAACCATTCAAATGCACTAAATTTTATTAGATATATTCAGGTTTGAACATTTATCTAGTGCCTATGTTTAAGTCAGTGTTTACTTCCTATGTTTAACTACAAATGCATTCTTCTCGTTACTACAACATATTTGGGTCAGGTTTCAGTGGTGTTTGTTTGTTGCATTATTATCTTAGAAGAGACTTGACAACTTCTGTATATTCTTTAAATTAGTTTTTGTTTGTTTATTTTCACTGGTTCTTGATCTATTTTGTTGGAGCATGGTTTGTCCATGAATAAATTAAGCATATTATTTCTAGAAGAAGCAGAAGAGAAATTTGAAGGTGAGGGACTTGCGTGAATATATAGTACGCCTAATTAAAAGCTAAACATTTTTGTTACATATGTTTAAACTAGCATTAAAATATTATGACTTAAATTCACTTGCAGGTGACATTTTTGTTTTACAGCCAATGTTGTATTTTCCGCAGAATCAGTAAAACATGTAGAAAAAAAGAGCTTCGTGTTCTGTGCTGCAAACAATTGCGCACTTGGCGGCCATTTTGTTGTTCTTTCATTTCAAAGATGGTTCTTTTTGCATTCTTAATTGCAAAATAAATAAATGAATAAAGTTATTCCCAAGAATATTATATAGGATGCCAGAAAAAATTACTTTCTTAGAGTACTACAGATAAAATTAAAACATTTACTAAACATATGTAAATATACTATTCTTAGAGGGCTGCATTTTCTGAAATAAAAAAACAACAACTATCTTTAGAAGATTGTTATTGTCGATTTTTTCCAACAGATCTTTGTGACCCCTCCTAATAAAATTTTTGCACGGATTGAAGATGGTCTACTATTGTGTTTATTTCCGTTACATTTCATAAGAGCAGAAATGTCCATATAAAACTCATAAATTTTCTGTTAACTATATGTTTCTCAATAGAAAATCTAGTTTGATTATTTTATCCTGCCTCTCCGATTCCACTCTATGGAAACTAACAATTTTAATAGTTTTGTGTATCAAAACTGTAATTATATTTTTTTAAAAAAGATATATAACGCAGCTGGGAGAGTTCGCAAAAAACGAATGATGTTGCGTTGTCTGTGATACCACGTGTGTTAGTTTTAGAGGAAAGCAAGATTGAACTACCTACTGTGTCCACGGCGGTGAATCGAACCCCGGATTTTAGCGTTGCAAGTCCGTAGACTTACCGTTATCCCACCGGGGACGCCTGTGAGACAACTAATTTTAAAATAAAAGTGTTAATCACTTCAACATATAAATCACACAGAATCACGTTTCCGTAAAATGAAATAATGTATACTGTTACGCCTCTGTGTTCGTGTGTTAATTTTTCGTAAAAATTCTTTCCGAAGAACTTTAGCGATACAAGTCCTTTCTTAAATAAAACTAGTTTATTCTTTCTTAATACAACTTTGCAATACACTTAATTTCCACAGTCACGCTATAACTTAAACAAACACTATAATTCACAACGACCGATTCAAGGGCTTGACTCAATTGTCCGTCTCTATCTCTGTCTGCAATTCAATTCCCTTGTTGCCGTCACTTCTTGGCGGTCTTATATACAAGAATACTGCACATCTAGTAAACACTCGAGCATTCAAGAACCTTCGAGAATATCATGACGTGTTACTAGCGTCACGTGACTTCCGCTGTCGTAACACTGCCCCTTCCTTAGTATTATTCGTCCCGAACAATAGCCACTTACATTAAACCAATAAACTTAATTAAATGTACAGAATTTACAAACATTAGAAACACAAAATTAGAATTCA